ATCGAAGTCAATTTTGGAATAGTTGAGTCAAAGCTCATTTCATAATCTTTTTCACATTATTTTATTTCATTGGCACCATTGGCCACAAGTATAACTTTCAATATTGGCATGTTGGCCACACTTTATATCCCCAATTCACTGATTTTACTTCCAATCATCTTTATAGGTTATCAACAATAAGACATTTCTAATCAAGACTTTAGGTACACATATGAGAAATTAAGAGTCTTAAGTATATTGAGATTTTCTCACACAATTTAGCATACTAGCTTTCATTTGAAATATGATTCAAAGCCACAACATTTTAATACGCAACCCATACTTTGAAACTCATGGGAACATTATAGAGTTCGATTCCAAGAGAGAAAGTTTAGCCAACATACCTCAATCGAGCTTCCTTAACTCTAAAATATTCCGGAAATTCTTAGCAATCCCAATTTATTTTGAGACATAACAAAAATTGAACCATTATTAGGAAGATATTCATGATCTCAGCACGTTTGAGCATTTTATCAAACACTAGGTGTTCAAATTTAACCACAAGGTTCTTCTACAAGATTTCCTTCACTCCACAACCCAATCCTTAATTATTTAAGCTCAACAATATTTCCACAAATCTTATTGATACATGCATGTATAAATAATACCCTCATACCCAAGAATCACGCTCCCAATTAACCATCTTCTTTCCAAATTCGAAATTGAAAACTTGGGTATGAAACCTTACCTGTTAGATGAAGAACTTGTGGGATTTCCTTGTTAATCTTCCAAGATTTGAGAAAGACTTGATGAATAATTAGCCTAGGGTTTTCTCTCTCTCTAAAACACTCTCCCTTCTCTCTAAAACATCAGAAGTTTTGCTCAAAAATGACCATTTGCGTGTATTTAACGAAGTAGTGTCGGGTTTTAAAAATCCAAAAATGGAGCTACGGAACAGGTTCTGCGGTCACATATGCGACCGCATAATGGATATGCGGACCGCATATCGGTCGCATAATTGTTGACAAAAAGGATCAAAAATCTATCTGTGTATGCGGTCACTATGCGGTCCGCACAACTGTTATGCGGTCGCATAATGCACCACATAACAGTTATGCGGTCACATAGTCGACCACATAGCTGCTTCCAGAATGGCCCTCTCCTGCTCACTTTTGCGGCCAATATGCGGCCCGCAGAGTGATTATGCGGTCGCATAATGGACCGCATAAATGTGTTTTTCTGCCAAAAATGTTCCTTTACTTTCCGGTGCATTGTTCAACCCAAAGAGTCCGAGTCACAGCTCGCAAGCTCGCCGTGAAGAATTTATACAATCCTCAAACACGTAAGCCCAATTCGGCACCACGATACATTATTTTCTTTTGCAAATTTTACCGGGCTTTACACTTAAGTACTTCAAAATTTTTCGGGGTGTTACATTGCGACTATAAAAGAGTATATGCCATAAAGTCATATCCTTATTTCGAGAAATGAGTTGGTGACTCTAACATGATTGCTAGAAGGCTAAGTTAGACCCCTAGAGTAATAGAAATTAGTATGGGCTAGTAAACAAGAAAAAAAATTGAACACGATTTAGGGAACGAAGGATTTGATAATAGTCGGCATCGTAAGAATTTCGGAAATCGTGTTCCGGAAATGATAGAATGGACAACATAAGAATAACCTTTAAAGGTCATTCAGGAAGACGCTTCCCTAAAGCAAGCAATGTGAGCAGAGTTATATTTAAGGGACTAAGTGTGCCAGTTACACTAGGTGTCACCCTCGCGCATAAGAAATCCAGTTATCCCTGGTAAAGAAGGGTTACCGCAAGGCAAGTAAGAGTCAGTGAAGATGTGAAAAGACGTCGAAGATGAAGAGATAAAATATTTTTAGGTAAATCTTCATAGCATTAAGTACTCCCCTAAAGAGGGGAAGATGATGTGATATGGTATTAAGTCAGAGTTAAGTGGTTCAGGTAACTATAGAATAGTAAAGGAAGAATGCGGTAAAAAGGCGAAAGGAATGAGATTGCATTTATTTAGATCCTACAGATATATTACTACTCCAGAACATTATGCAAGCACGATGTCGGGTAGAGGCAGTAAGGGTTCCCGGCCAGGATGTTATTGATAAATAAGTGTGAATGGACACTTGATACATAAGAAGCCAGTGCAAGGGGTAAGTTAAGACAAAGGACATAACCTAAGAGAGAGTACGCGGAATATAGATATGAGAATAGACCAATGAGTAGTTAGTAGTCGATTCAGGAAGAGCCTGGTTATGGCTAGACGAGAGGATATAGATAAATCAGCAGATTATGCCAGGTAAAGGTAGTGAACCCCAACATGGGGAATTCAGTCTCGCAGGTATGTTAAGGCTAAACCTTTACTTCATTTTGGCATGATCCCGTAACTTCATGTGTTTGATAACGAGACATAAAGAGAAGTTCATATCCTGAATTTATGAACATTATCCTAGTCTCATAAGTTATCATATTCTCCCTTATCAGGACTTTTTATTCAGTTAAGTATTGTCTTCTTCCAGTCAAGAGAGAAGAGGGTCTATATATATATATACAGTATTACAGTATTTTCACCACCATCGAGCTATAATCGGTGGGCAGCCCCTATTGGGCAGTATTACAGTATTTTCTCAACCATCGAGCTATAATCAGTGGGCAGGCCCCTATTGGAAAACCTCTGATCAGATGGTAAGTTACATACCGAGCCTACTGTGACCGAGCACCTATGAGCAAGCCCTGAATGGCTAAGATACAAAGCCTAGTATGGCCGAGCGCCTATGAGCGAGCCTACTACGGCAGAGCAGTTACATATACCGAGCCTCATAAGGCTGGATAACTATTTTACTTACTATATTGAGAGAGTTCAGTTAGTATCAGCAGGTAAGCATATCTTCAGATTATCTTTGACTCCTAGTTACTTTTAGTTATTATATTATCAGTTCAGTTTTAGCTTTCAGTTATTCTATTGCCTTACATACTCGGTACATTATTTCGTACTGACGTCCCTTTTGCCAAAGATGTTGCATTTCATGCCTGCAGGTCCTGATAGACAACTGGATAGACCTTCCCAGTAGACAGAGCCAAACATCAGCTTGGTTGGTAAGCTCCACTTCCCCGGAGTTACCAGGTCTAGACCTTGGAGTCTATTTTAGATATACTAGTTTGATGGGTAGGTCGAGGCCCTGTCCTGACCATGATACAGTTAAGTTATCTCTATAGGCTTGTAGACGAGTCCTGTATATTTTGTATATAAGTATAGTGGCTTTGCCAGCCCTGTGTAGATATTAGTTTGGTATTGCTGGTTATAGACATTCATGGTGGCCTCGTCGGCCTTGATTTTTAAGGTAGGCCTCATCCGCCTAAGTGGAGGGTTACCCCTCCAGAGTTTACAGTTATAGAGTGGTATGCTCGGGCCAAATATGGCACCAGGTGCCGGCCACTCCCCAGGTTTGGGGCGTGACATATTGCATCGAATACTTGACTCTGGAATACCTGCAAAGAATTTTAAATTAGTATTTAACTATATGAGAAATTGAATTGAATAATAAAGGTGAGATAGGGGCTCATGAAATTGTAGCTGGTCCGTCATTGATCCCGGTGTGCTTTGGTCTCCTTGATTTTCGTCAATCCTGCGATCAAAGAAACTTCTTAGTAAGGGAGGGGGAGGGGCATTGATTTGTGTTGATTGTAGACCTGGCCTTGCCCTGGATTAGGTGGGTTATACCATCATGTTCGATAGGTGGAAGAGTAGAATATTCTAAAGATATTTTGAAATGTCGTTTATGTTTATGGTAAACGTCATTGTTCCGGATTATGACATATTTAGAAATTCTTTATGATAGGAGTACCATTTTTGGGTGGCTCTATTCTATTGTTGACGATCTCCTAGGTATGCCTTTGATGACGAGCTTCTTGCCATCGTAATCACACCCTAATCTAAACAAATGCATTACAAAGGACTTTCTAGGGTTATGACCGAACCTTTTCAGGTTGCCTACGTATCTAAGTGGAATCAAGTCGGAACATAGTTCAAGGATGATAAAATGATGAAATGAATTATGATGACCGAGCCTGACTCAGGCATCCTACGTATCCAAATGGAATTAGGTCAAAATGTAGTTAGATTATAATAGATGCAAAGTGTTAAAATTTCAAATGATATAGATGAGTTTGACTCAGTTCCTATGATCCAAATGGAATCAGGACAAAATGTAGTTTGATTACAATTGATGACTAAATTCGATGTGGATTGCCTATGTATTCCTGCCAAAGGAAATCAAGTTGCGGCGTAGTTTCGAATACATACAAAATGACATTTGGATTCTATTACAAGAGGGGGAGGGAGACCAAACACTACGTGGGTTGCCTACATATCCCACTGTGGAAAGTCAGGTCAGGCGTAGTTCTATTATAACAAAACCCTAACTCTATTATCTTCAAATATAGTATGTCTTGATTGCGTCTGAATTGATTGGCTTTGTGCTGACTCTGTCGTCCATTTCTACTAGGATTAATGCTCCTCCGACAATCCTCGATAGACCATATAAGGACCTTGCCAATTCGCTGCGAACTTCCTCTTGGCCCCTTCTTGATGGGGGAATATCTTCTTCAAAACCAACTACCCCGGTGTGAACTGCCGAGGTTTCACTTTTTTGTTGAATGCGTTGGCCATCTTATTTTTATACAACTGACCATGACACACTGTGTCCATTCTCTTTTCAGTAATGAGCATGAGTTATTCTTTCTTGACACGCATCCATTCTACATCATCTAGCTTGGCTTTCTGGATAACTCTTAAAGATGGTATCTCGACTTCTGCGGGTATCACAGCTTCTGTGCCATTTACCAATATGTAAGGAGTTGCCCCAATAGATGTGCTCATAGTAGTGCAGTAACGAAGAAGGGCAAAGGATAGTTTCTCGTGCCATTTCCTGTGATTTTCCACTATCTTCCGCAAGATCCTCTTGATGTTTTTGTTGGTTGCTTCAAATGCTCCATTCATTTATGGCCTGTAGGAGATGGAGTTACATTGAATGATTATTAACTTCTCACAAATATCCATCATGAGATCGCTATTGAGGTTGGACGCATTGCCAGTTATGATTGACCATAGAATCCCAAATCGGCATACTATGTTGTTACGGACGAAATCTGCCACCACCTTCTTTGTGACAACCTTGTATGTAGAGGCTTTGACCCATTTGGTGAAGTAGTCGATGGCTACTAAGATGAAACGAAGCCCATTCGATGTGGAAGATTCTATAGGTCCAATCATATCCATGCCCTAAACGGGAAACAACCAAGGAGAACTTATTACGTTTAACTCATTCGGCAAAACCCGGATGAAATCCTCGTGAACCTAACACTGGTGACACTTCTGCACATAACGGATACTATCACTTTCCATGGTCATCCAAAAGTATTCGGTTGTCAAGATCTTATTGGCTAGGGTGAAACCATTCATGTGAGACCCGCACGTTCTTGCATGTATTTCTTCCAATATTCTTGTTGCTTCAGCAATATCCACACACATTAATAGACCCAAGTCTGGGGTTCTCCTATACAGGACTTCCCTGTTAAGGAAAACGTGATTTGCTAATCTTCTTAATGCTTGCTTCTGACCCTTGCTTGCACTTTCTGGGTAGTATCTTGCTTCGAGGAACCTTTTGATATCACGGTACCAAGTCTTACCATCTGGCTCTTCATCTACATGGAAACAATATGCATGCTGATCTCGAACCTCTATCTCGATGAGGTCGATGTAATTCTTGTCTGGGTGCTAAATCATGGATGATAAGGTTGCAAGAGCGTTGACGAAATCATTCTGGATTCTGGGAACATGTTTTAACTCGATCTTGGTGAACTTCTTACACAACTCCTTTACGTAGTGCAGGTATGGAAGGATCTTGACATTCTTGGTGGTCCACTCACCCTATACTTGATGTATCAGCAATCAGAATCTCCTATGACCAAAAGTTCCTTGATGTTCATGTCGACTACCATCCTAATCCCGAGGATGCATGCCTCATATTCTGCCATATTATTTGTGCAATAGAACCTTATCTTATTAGTTGAAGCTGGATAATGCTGTCTTGACTCGAAATTAAGGATTGCCCCGATTCCTACTCCCTTGAAATTTGCCACTCCATCAGAACAAATCCTCCACCCTGGATATGACTCTTAAATGTCCTCCCTAATGAACAACACTTCTTCATCTGGGAAATATATGGTAAGTGGCTTGTAATCCTTGTCCACCGGGTTCTCTGCAAAATGATCAGCCAATGATTGTCCTTTGATAGCTTTCTGCGCCACGTACACAATGTTGAACTTACTGAGAAAGATATGCTATTTGGCCAAATTTCCCATAGGCGTTGGCTTCTGGAAGATGTACTTAGCGGGCCGAGTCGGGATATCAAATATGTGGTATATACCGATAGGTAGTGCCTTAACTTCTGAGTGATCCAGATCAAAGCAAAGCAGGTCCGCTCTAACAAGGTATATCTAGCTTCGTATGGTGTGAACTTTTTGCTCAGGTAATAGATAGCTTGTTCTTTCTTTGTAGTCTCATTGTGTTGTCCCAACATGCATCCAAATTCATTATCTAAAACGAACAAGTATAGTAGTAGCGGCTTCCCAGGTTCAGGAGGAACTAACACTGGTGGACTCGACAAATACTCCTTGATTCTGTCGAAAGCTTTCTGACATTCCTCTGTCCCCTTGGTAGCGACATCTTTCTTCAACAACTTAAAAATTGGCTCACAGATTACTGCTGAATGGGCTATGTAATTCAATCTTCCAAGAAAGATTATCACATACTTATTGATATTGGGTGGAGGCAAGTCTTGAATGGCCTTGATCATTGAGGGGTCCATATCTATCCCCTGTTTGCTAATTATGAAACCTAACAGTTTTCCTGCGAGAACTCCGAATGCACACTTCGCAGGATTCAACTTCAAACTGTACCTTCGCAACCGCTCAAAGAACTTCCTTAAGTCTTTCAAATGATCTGCACTCTTTCGAGACTTGATGATGATGTCATCCATATATACCTCAATCTCCTTGTGGATCATGTCATAAAAGAGGGTCGTCATAGCCCTCATGTAGGTAGCACCAACATTCTTGAGACTAAATGGCATGACCATGTAGCGATAAACTCCCTATGGTGTGGTGAATGCTATCTTTTATGCATTTTCTTTGTACATAAGAATCTGGTGGTATCCAACAAAACAATCCAAAAATGATTATAACTCGTGTTCGCATAGTTATCCATAGGATATGACTATTCGACAGAGGAAAGTCATCCTTGGGACTGGCTTTGTTGAGATCTCGGTAGTCCATGCATATCCTGATCTTCCCATCCTTCTTATATACCGGCACAATGTTTGCCAACCAAGTAGGGTAATTGGTGACCCTTACTACATTTGCTTCTATCTGTATTGTAACTTCTTCCTTGATCCTCAGACTCAAATCTGGCTTGAATTTTTGGGGTTTCTGTTTGACGGGTTGTTTGGCGGGATCTGTGGGTAATCGGTGCGAGACAATGTCGATACTTAGTCTGGGCATGTCGTCATATGACCAAGTGAATACATCTATGTATTATCGAAGGATCTCTACCAATTCTTCCTTCTGTTCCGCCTTCAGATGGATACTGACTCGAGTCTATTTCACATCTTCTTCATTTCCTAAATTAATCACTTTTGTTTCTTCGAGGTTGGATTTCTTCTAGATTTCTAGCTGCTCGATCTCTTACGGGAGGTTCTCAAGCATCATACTCTCGTCGTACTCCTTGTAATCCGAATCGTTTTGCACAAGGGTTTCGTTACATGTCATAATCGCGAAACGTGAGTTTTTATTGATTTGATTACTGAAAAGAAAAATTGAGTATAAATAAAGATAAAGATGAATTTGCGATGATTTCAGGAAAGTAATTCTTTTTATTTTGCCAAAAGTAACATCACAGCGTTCAAAGAGGCAATTTAACAAAAAGGTACAGGCATGGTACAGGCCTCAGTTGACCATGCATTTTTGAAAAGTAATACAATTCCACACTACCAAGACTCCCGGCGAACCAGGGATGGACTGGCGGTCCAGTTCTGCAAGGTCTCTCCTGGTTCGGCATCTCGAATGGTCGGTGTCTTGATATCAGCTTTGCCACAACATTCCTCGATCATGGCCACAAACAATCTTCCCATCCCATCGGTGATATCACCTTCTGGTGGTGAGATCTGACCCGGGCTCGGAACACGCTCTGGTATAAAAACCTTCTTCCTAGGGTTACCATTATAGATTCTTCCAGTTATAGACTGATACCCCAAGCCGGTCGTACCTTTCTACCCTTTTAGTTCAATTGGCTCTGTTATCCCATCTGATCGGGCTCCCAGCTCGGTCCCTGGTCGATATTCATACTTCATCATTTCTCACATTGCTATATTTGACCTATATGGTGATTGCATGCTATGATTTTGCTCATTCTTCTCCATTTCTATTGCTTGCATGATCTCGACTGCATGGAAGGTGACCCCATCTAATCCTTCTATGAAATAAACCACATGCTCTAAGTAATCTGATCGGCTCCACTTCCCATGTATCACAATCTTCTAGCAATCCCACTCGAATTTCATACACTGATGGAGAGTGGAAGGAATTTCCCCTTCCATGTGTATCTAAGGCCTTCCTAGTAGTATATTATATGAAGACGAAATGTCCATTACTTGAAACAATATTGGGAACTCAAGTGGTCCAATCTTCTAGGCTAAGTAGATTTCTCCGATAACATCCTTCTGCGACCCATCGAAAGCCCTTACTCTTACATGGCTCTCTTTTACTTCCCTCAAGTGAATGCCCAATTGTCGTAGAGTAGAGAACAGACAAATGTTTACTCCGGATCCTCCGACGACAAGCACCGGAGACACGACGTTTTCTCCAAACTTGATTGTGATGTGCAGAGCCTTTTTGTGATCCATACCTTCCACAGGAAGTTCATCCCTCCGAAAGGAAATCTTGTTTGCCTCCACCATTTTCCTGATGGTTGTTGCTAGTGCCTCACTGGTAGTATTGCTTGGCATACTTACCCTGCTTAGTGTTTTTATCATAGCATCCCTGTGACTGTCGGAGCTCATCAACAAATCCATAATTAATACGTGGGCATGAGTCTTCCTCAATTGTTCTTCTACGGAATATTCTTTAACCAGCATCCTCTTCCAAAACTCTGCTACCTCCGCGTCTGTTATGTTTCTCCTCTGATTCTGCTCTCTACTTGGGTTCCCTCAGTTTACCTCTTCTGGAGCGTAACACCTTTTTGACCTAGTCATCCTATGAGCAGCTGCGGTGTCTATTATTTAGCCCTTTCCCTTCAACTTTTAAGTCCATGGAACTACTTTATATTCTCGACTCCCCTCATTTTGAACAGTGGTGGTGGACTGTTGTTGGTATGTCTCACAAGAGGTTTCAACCGCACAGTGATCAATGGATTTACCCGAGGGGGTGTTCTTGCAGCTTCGGCATTCCCAATAGTGACGATAGTACCTTTCAAGTCATAGTCCTTGTCTTATGTGATCTTGTTGGATCCTTGGTTTCTGTGGTTTGGTAGTGGGTTATGGTTTAAATTTGGTTGGGCTAGGGTGCACTGGGTAGCTCCACTCTTGATTAATAGTTCGATCTTATTCTTGAATCTATAATAATCCTCGGTGTCATGCCCAGGAACAGCTGAATGATTGGCACAACGCTTGCTTGCATCGAAATAGTTGGAGGGTTGGTTGGGGATTCTTCCTTCCACCGGGTATATTAGTCCAACTCTTTTCAACCTTTCAAATAATTTGGTTAAAGGCTCAACAATTGGGTTAAAGTTTCTGGGATTCCTTTCTTCAACGTATTGACGTGGCTTGGGTGTATATGCATGTCTGTTTTGGTGGGTTGTGGTTTGATCTGGAGCATATGGATGTATATTGGCTCGTGGCAGGTTGTAGTGGGGTTGAGCATTTTAGTATGGTTGTGTGTTATACACAAGGGTATAAGTGGGTTGATGTGGAGGGTGAGTGTTTGTGGAGTAGGAGTTGGTTCGACGAGGAGTACTTGATTGATAGTAGGGGACGATCGCCATTACTTCCTCTTTCTTTCTTCCCACTGTCGATGAAACCAGATTGTATAACTTTGCCAGCAGCTTGTAGCGCGACCATTGACTGTATCTTTCTTGACATGATAACTTCCTCCAAGAAATCTTCTATTTTGACCAGCTAGGGAAATGTTTGCCCCATCATACCTATCATCTTTTCTAAATAGATCCCTTCTTGAGCGTAAAAAAATTACTCAGTTAGCTCATTATCATCCAACAGAGGTTGAGTCCTAGCAGCTTCTGATATCCAGCGGCGAATATATTTTTAAATGATTTAGAGGGCTTCATTTGTAGATTCACCAAAGCGAATATATCCGGAGTGATTTCAGTGTTAAATCTTATGCGAATCATAAAATCTTCGGCCATGTCCTACCACTCGCTCCAATTCCCGGGTCTTGTATGGTATGCCAAGTAAGCGCTTCTCCAGTTAGAATCCTTATAAACAGTTTTATTCTTAACTTTTCATTTTTCCCACTCTGACCAACTTGTCGTGATACGCTCTCAAGTGAGCGTAGGGATCACCAGTTCTGTCAAAGATATTGAACTTCGGAGGCTTGTATCCTGCAGGCATGCCAATATCTGTATGTATAAATAGGTGCTCATAAACCAAGCTCTTGCTCCCTCGAGCAATTTGGAGTTTCTTCTTCTGTTTCCTCAATACTTGTAGTTGTTCCGATAATGATTCTTCCTTGTATATTGAATCTTTCTTCATTTCGGCATATTGGTCTATCTCATAGGGCACTCTGACAATGATGGGAGCGGTAAAGGTAGGCTCAGAAGCGGCATATATGTAAGGCCCCATAAAAAAATAATTCTAATGATTAAGACTTCATAGTGCACCAATGACGTTTGGGAATAATATTATTTTTTAAGTACTAAAGGAGACCTATGGAGTGGAACCACATTATTTTGTCATGAAAAGTGTTTCAGAACATATTAATGAGGTTTGTAAGTGGGAAGAAGTTATTAGAACGAGTTGGATATATTAAGTGGAAAGACGTCTAAATGTTTGCACTACACTTGACTTTGAATGGTTATAACTCTCATAATATAAAGGTATTTCCCATGCATTTGTTCCCTAAAGCGTAGCTCTTTGAGTCTAGTTTCTAACGCATCAAGCCATTAGTCATTTAGACATTCCTACTAAACGTTATGATCAAATTACCAAAGTCAGATCACCCAGTTATTTTGGCGGACAGCGAAGCAAGGCTTGCTTCGCCAGACCGGGCGCGGATCCTGTCATCCCTTGTATGCTGTGGACAGCGAAGTGAGGCTCACTTCACCAGACTGGGCGCGCCCCAGCTTTAGGTCCTTTTAAGTCATTTCGTGGGCTCATTTTCCCTATTTTATTTGGACGAATTTTGGAGTTTTCCTCCACTCTCTCAAGACCCCCAAATCCTCCCATCTTCAAGAAAATAAATCCCCATTGTTTTGGTGTGAATCCTATCATTTCCACACTAGACGTAACTCAATCCACCTTGAAATCCTTAGATTTTCAAGAAATTGCTTCAAGAACTAAAGGGAGGATTTTGCAAGATTTCATCCAAAAGGTAATTCTACACCCTTAGACTTATATGCATGGATTTATTATGGGAATATGAGTAATAATTGAGTATTGGAACTCATGGGATGGTGCTTGGAATCCATAAGTTCCCAATTTAAAAACTTAGCCATTGTGGAGATTGAAAGGTGATTATTTGATGGAATTTTGTTGGTTGGGTGAGGATGGATGGTCATGCATGTGATTGTTGGAAGTTATAAATTGTTTAAGAATGATGGTGGGATAAATTTTGGTAAATGGTGGTAGTTGGATGAACTAATTCTATGGTTTAGAGATGTAGAGATTTATGCCTACTAGGTGTTTGATAAAGTGTCTAAATGGCCTAAATTATGGAATTTGTTACTAATATTGGTCCCATTGGATGTTGTTATTGTAGATTGAAGTTTCTTAGTATAGTGGATCATTGTAGTATCATTATGGGGCTAATATGAGGTATGTTGGCTAAACTTCTCTCTTAGAATTGAATCCCG